AGCGTGCATGAATTGCTCATCCAAGCCTCAGATGATCTTTGCTATTTTCCATTGTGTGTTTATATATATAGAATATATATAAAATATAATATATATTATATATATATTATATATAATATATATAATGTATATATTCTTTTTTCTAACTTGGTTTCCTCCAAATGAGTTGTTCCTATAAAGGAMTTTGAACTGTGGATAATTACCGTTCTTTGTTCCAAAAGCTAATAAAAACAAAACTTAGCAATGTCATGTTGGAGGCCTGTGGGAAAACTTGGGTGTAACACATGAAGTAGAAAAACAAACTTTTCTGATGAGGCCAGGAAGCTACAATCACTTTTTCCACTTCTAGCCATGTGTGCTGGACCTAGTTGGTAATGGTTCCTCTTAAACTTATTTTTTCCTCTCTTTTATAGTTGCCTTTTTACCCCTAAATTATACAGGAGAGGATAATAAATGTCAAAAAAAACTCATACTTGTTTCCTAGTGTTTTCAGAGAGGCATGTGTCTTTGTGCTCTGTAAGACTACTGTTATTTGTTTGCTTGTAGTTGGCCAAAAATACTTTGGGAAAGGTGTTAGAAAATAACCACAGTCAATAATGCAAGTTTTTATTTGAAACAAACAAATGTGTTTCTGTATTATGAAGCCTTTTGGTTGTTTGTTTTTTGGCATTTCTAAAATGTTCCTCTTCCCCATCTCCTTTTTAACTTTTAATTTCTCCTTGGCTCTTAGGGTATTTCGTCTTGTATGTATGTTGCCTCTTTCATGTCATTCTTTTTATTTCTCTTGTGATATAAAGAAATAGTAGACTATAGAATATAGACTAGGTTTTGCAAACATTACCCTAGGTATTGCTTTGGATAAGATTTTTTCGAAGTACAAATAAACTGTAGCCAATGAAATATATGGATAACTGAACATAAGGCCTTAGGAGCTTGTACACGGCTTCTTAGAACCAGCCTGTTTTTCAACAAGGATTCTGATATTCTTTTTGTATGTGTRTATATATATAATTTACAGCTGCTTCTAGGTAGAAATGATTGTGAAACATCAACAGAAAAATGTCCATATTTTGGTCCATATTTTTATGTGCTATGGCAGGTATTTGGGTTCTTCTTTTCATGTACTGCYGTTCCTCACACATTCTGTAAAGTCTTAATGTGCACCCCTAAGCAGCTGTAGATGAGGGTAACTTGTTCTCTAGTTCCTGTGTGTCAAGAGCATGGAGTGCTCTTAAAAATAAAATATAAATAAGATAGTAACAATCTTGAAATCTTAGGATAACACAGGAGCGAGTGTGTCCAGAATTGGCATTAGAAGAAAAAGTTTATATACTAGCTTGTACCTGTAGTCATGCATAGCATGATTCAGAAATCTACTGCTCTGATGAAGTGGTAAATAATGACCTTCTGATGTTTGAATTCGTGATGTTAGTAGTAGTGCTGTAGAGGAGGAACCCCCAGGAAGATATGAGGTGTTAAACCAAGTTGTGCAATGCCTACTTCACCTTTGCAGAAGCCATCCTGCTAAGAGTGCTTATGTGGTAGCCCTTGCGCAAAAAAAGACACGTTTGCTGGAGTTTCTGAGGTCGTGGATAAAAATGTTACATATCTTGTATGAATATTGTGAATAAATAGATGTAGAAATTGGAGCTACAGAATGGCCTGGCTTTAGCTTTTTTTAAAGAAGCTGAGGTCTAGCTGTTGTTGTCCTACAAGTGTTTCTTGAGATGCAGATTTGCAAATTACTTTTGGGGAAAAAAAATGCAAAAAAAAGCCAATACTGAAACGATAGTAACTATTAGTGCATTTTCCCTATAAGTGATGAGCAAAGCTTTTATTTACTTTTAATAAAAGTACATTGTGTTGCCTGTTATGAAATGATGTGGTCATCGTTTCATCAAGTGTTKTTAGGGGAGTTAGAGCGTGAGGAGCTGGAATATTGATGAAAGATGCCATTTTCTTTCTCTGAATATTTCTCAGTCTCTAGGGGCACTTTGAGAGTATTAACAGTATATGGCTTGAATAATATATAAACAAAATAATATTTTGTTACATGCTTATATTTTATTTATACACACACACACACACACACACACACACACACACGTTCAATTCCATTAAGCCCGTCTCTTCATGGCTTGTTTATTTGTCCTAGAGAGACTGCTTAATATTGGAGAGAGAATGCACTAATGTGGCTGACCTTTACAAGGCTGTGCCGGCAGTAAGGTGGGTTTTGACAGCCTGCAAGAACAATAAAATAGCAGACTGATCTTTTTGTCCATTTGTTGGAACATGCTCAAGAGACCTGAAAGCACAAGAAAGCAGCAGAAGGTAGTAAAAACCACTAGAGTGTTTTGTTGTGTTTTTGGCTCTCAGGAGGATGCTGCTAACAGGATATAGTAAAGGATTAAAATCTTTGAGTGTTTTTATTTGTTGTTGTGGTCTGTGTGGCTTGCATTGGCAGACCCTAATGATAGTTTTTAACACCCTGAGTGGTTTTCTTTAATGATAATACAAAGATGGGGGTTTATTTCCTTGCAAAGGTTTTAAACAATTGTGAATGAAAGTAGAGACCAGTTTTAGTTTTACAGGGAGTTGCTAGTGAGTGATATTCTTGTGTAGTGCTCTTGTATTGGTGGCATTTGTCACAAAGCTACTTGAAAATACATGAAGTATTTGCACACCAGTTTATCCCTGTCCCTTTGCTTCCACCCAAGGCTCTATTCTGAGGGATGACCCATGACTCTTCTTTACTACAGATTCCCATCTTTTATCCAAAATGCCCACTTTTTTTTTCCTGTAGAGGGGAAAGGTGCTAGTAGCTTGAGCCAACTTGGCCTCTCTCCTGCTATCACCCCTTGAGCTCTTGTCCCTTCCCTGCAGGCAGGATGGTATGGAGAAGATGGAAGTTGCCTGTGTCTTCAGATAGAGATGTTGCCATATAAAGCAATGGGGAAATTAAATGCTTATTATATTTATAACAGGATTTTGATTGATCCTGGCATTTGTTGGTGATTCTAGTAATGAACTCTATTTAACAGACTTCTCCATGACCATTTCTTATGTTGATCTTCTGTAAAAGCTCTTTGTGTGTGTATACAAAATTAATACTCTCATAATGGAAGATGCAATTTGTGCTTTCTTTGATTCAATTGCTCATGTTTTTGCTAATTAATCATTAATTATCTGCTACTGGAACAGTATCTTTTTTGCTTTAATTAGCTACTGGTACGTGCTTGTTAGCAWTGTGCCTGCAGAGCTCTTGCAGTACTGCAGTGTGCTGTGCTTCTCTGCTCCCGCGAGCTACCAGTGTCTGAGAGCTTTTGGGCTTGCTCTGCTTGCCTGCTTTTCCTCTTCAGGTCTCACTCCTATTGTACAATTACTGCTTAAAACACAAACTAATGTAAAACAGTGTATATGTTCTTGTAGCTTGAGTGAGAACCTCGGCACAGGTCTGTGGAGGGGCTCTGCAAATTATGTTTTGTGTATTTTGGGAGATATTGGGAGGAGGGGGCTGGATGGGACTGTCATGGATGTCCTTCATCCAGAATAACCCTTTGGGAGGAAGCCCAGCCCAGTGGAATGCCAGAGACTTGATCGCTGTCCCCTTCTCCCCCTTTGGTTTCATTTTTAAATATGAAAGCAATCAGGTTTGTTTTCAGCATATCCCAGAGCCCCCTAGTCCTTAATTCCCAGCAATCCTCAGAACACTATTGAAGCCAGGATATCATAAAGAAGGGAATATTCCCCCCYCCACATCCCCACCGCAAGCATTTTCTGAAGCAGTTGGTTTACACTATTTTCCACGTATTTTTTTTAAAGTGAAGCTGGGCATCTGCTCAGATGTCTACTCAAAGGGGAAGCAAAGAGCTCTTGGGTTGGATTTTAAATGATGTGTGTGATTCATGGGTTGTTTTAAAAGTACATGGATGGGTAAATGTAAAGAAAACTAAAAATAACGAACCCTGATGTGGTGGCTAAGGGCTTAGTTTTTCTCCCAGCACAGCAGAGGATTCTTAGCAGGAGGCAGAGCTTTTGGTGGGGCTGGGTGTTGGCAGCAGATTCAGCTGTGCGGGATGCTCCCTTCCTGGCTGGACTTGTGTCTAATCTGGTCTCCTGCAGTGGCTCAGGATAACTACCCAGCGACTGCGAGGCAGGCGGTGCCTAAAGCAACTCCAATGGAACTGTGAGGGAAAAGGGGTTAAGCTGGGATAAGGCTGCAGCCTCTGCCTGGGAGCTGACAGCATCACCTCTGACTGTTCGCTCCAGCTGGCTCCAGGAGAGCCTGAGCATCTTCAATTTGCTGGAAGGCTGAGGCTTTATGTGAGGGCAGCCTGCTAGTMGTGGCATGTTGCCAGGGCAACCCTCTGATTTATTAATTTCTTTTAAATCCCAGGCTGATGCATCTGCTGCTGTGCTCTTGCTCGTTGTGGGCTTGTATTGCCCTTTGGCATGCCTGGGTGCTTTTTGAATGTCTCTTGTGTAAAGAATTGTTTTTTACGCAAAAAGGAATCCTCTACCTTTCTCTTAAGTCATTAGAGACACCTTTCYTGGAGTTTAGCATTTTAACTGGAATATTTCTATGCATGCCCATGCACAGAAATTTAATGTTGCATTTGTTCTCCGTCTGTTTTATGGCACAACATTGTGTTGAGGTTCTCTAATGCTACTAGAGCAGTTTAAGTGGTGGTCTTTTCCCTCCCAGATGTGGCCATGTCCTTTATGCTGCTGTTTGTTTCCACTGTAAACATGATTGAAGTCTTTGAATTTTAAATAAATATAAAATTGCAGCTCTCATTTGCATGAATAACTTAAACTTAAGAATGTGTGTGTACTTTAGTAGTATCTTTGTGCAATATAAGCCAGAAGTTTATGACAGAGTATATAAAATGCTAATATTCTCTGGCAGCAGAGATGACTTTTGAAATACATGATTATCAGTAATAGAGATTGTCATTGTAGAGAAGTGATTGGATATTCCTGTTTTTTTCTCTCCTCAGCTGTCCCGTTTCCTCCAAGCCACCGGCTCACAGCCAAGGAGGTTTTTGATAACGATGGAAAGCCCCGAGTGGATATCTTAAAGGCACACCTAATGAAAGAAGGGAGGCTGGAAGAGAGCGTTGCTTTGAGAATAGTAACAGAGGGAGCTTCAATTCTACGCCAGGAAAAAAACTTGCTGGACATTGATGCACCGGTCACAGGTTAGCATGGAGTTAAGCTGTTGGAGGGGATGGGTGCTGGTTTGGGATGTGTTGTGCAATGTGTGGGGTTTCCTAAGGAGCTAAAAGGAAATCTCACTCTCGTTTGACCTCGGGTACTTGAGTCTTTGTCTGTTACCATTATGATAACAGAGGTGGCTAAGCAGCTTGTAAGTTAAGGAAGCGAGCATTTCTGCTGAAGCATTTTAGTTTCTAATTTAAGATAGCAGTTTTAGTCTACAGTGAAAGAGTGCTAGAATTTTCTTCATCTTGAGTGTCTGGCCTTTTGTACTAAATACTAATTCCATAAGGTTGTAGATGTCCTTTACTGTAGTAGTACAGTTCCGATGTACAGTCATAGTTTGGCTCTGCAGGAAGAACGATGTTACAGTAAACAGAAATTTTAATTAAATGTTAAGGAAAATAACATGTAGAGTGAAAAAAGCAGAATCCCAGTTTGTGTTGCCTGGGGGATTAATGAATTGTGCTGGTTGCAGAACCCATTTTGCCCTTGACTATCAAACATTACCACCCACTCATTAATCCTCAGGAAATGCCTTCTGCTTTGTACTTCCTTCTCTAATTGTCTCCTGCCTCAGACTGCATTCTGAACCCAGAAATGTATTTGCTTGCTCTAATATGACCCTTTCCCCTTTTATTTTTTTCCCGCTCTTATGAAAGATGGATATATTTTTGGCAGGAAGCTTATCTGTACCATACCAAGTTAGTTGTTGGGTGAAAGACTGCTGGTTCCACCCCGCGCAAATGATGAACCCTAACCATAAAGCTTGTTTCAAGGAGGCATTTTCTTTTGTCGCTTTGTTTCTGGGAGGCCCTGACAAGAATCCAAGAAATAGGCTCTCCTATTGCAGAAGAAAGATTACTGGTCTTTATGACGAGCAGTGGCAGTAGAGATCATAGACCAGAAACTGTAGAGAAGAAGTGAGGACTTGATTTTTCCAACTCCTCCCAAACTGCATAGGGGTAGTATCTGAACTAGAGTGTTTTAAGGGCTATTAGAGCTTGTAATTCTCTAAGTGGCATTCAACCAGGAGATTCTAGGTTGGCCTGGGGAGGGAATGGGTGTCTCTTATGTAATGATAGCTTGTCATGCTGTCTTTATCTTGCTCTGGAAAAAGGTGTCAATCATGCTGCATCTTACGGATGAATAAAGCAAACACGATGAATAAAGGCCTTCTCTCAATAGGCTGATAATAGAATAGTCCTACAGGCTGTTTCCTTGAAAGGAGGAATACAGGCTCTTCGGGACATTAAATGGAGAAAGTTCTAGAGTATCGCTGAGTCCCTAACTGAGCAATAAAATGTGCAGAAGTTCTGCCTTTCTATTTTTTTTTCTTAATGCAGTGATCCATACAGCAGATAGGTCTACCCAATTACTTTTCATAAGTTAATATCTGACATTTTCTCCCCCCTCCTTCCCTTCCTCCCTCCCAATTTGTTTTTCTTAAATGCTTTTGAAAGTTTCTGAGCTGAGTTTTGGTGATTCATCTCCTGAAGTTTATGCTCACTGCAGATCACTGGTATATTTAAGTTTTTGATTTTTTTTTTTTTTTCCAGTGTCTCCCTTTGTTCTTGCTTTTGAAAGTATTTGCATACAGTGACTGCAGTATTGCGGTATTCTTCAGAGTGACTGATAGTTACTCCCTTTTAAGCTAAAGGTGGACTGCTAATACTTGTTTGTGGGGTAGCTGAGAACTGCTAATGTTCTGTGTGAAGAAACATGAAAGCTGCAGTAATGAAAGTGATCATCAAAAGAAGAGAAAATCTGAAAGGAGACTGGAAAAGCTTGTGAGGCCCCTCGTTTTGTGGGCCTTGCAATTTGCCCTGTATTAGTAGTAGGACAGCAGATGACTGGATAAAGAGAATTTGACTGTGATCTGGTGAAATTGTAAGGAATACAGTCAGGAAAATGGAGTAGAACACATGCTTTTTCAAGCATATAGAAGAATAAACAAATACTGATACAAAAGGAAGGAAAATATATTTTAGGGCAAAGAGACCTGGTGAAGAGGGACTRTCATTACTGATTAGTCTGGGATTGTTTGTGGCAAATTCATTTATCTGTCAGAACTGTATGCCTGCAGCTGGTTAATGAGCTGCTGCTCATCAAAGAGAGAGAGAGAGGACTCTAGCTGTTGTAGAGCATGGTGCATTAGGCCAGGAACATGAAAAGTTTTTCCTGCTGCCGTGGGTGCACACTCCTTAGTTTGCAGTGCAGCACTTGGAGATGTTTACATGGTCTCAGAGTGAGAGCTGTGGTGGGAGAGGCTGTCAGTAGAGACCTGAATCTTGTGCCTGGAGCAGCAAGGAGCTGGCGCAGGGTTGCAGGTCCATCCACGTCCCCGTGTGGGTAAAGAAGGGTGCTAGGAGTGATGGGTTTGCGTGCTGCTCTCAGCCTGCCAGCAACATTATGGGAATATCTACAACRGCTCCAAGCCCAGGGAGCAGGCAGAGGGAAGAGGAATAGCCTGCTGCTGCCTTCCATGGGAAGGTTATCCCCTCGCTTCCTCTACACCCTCCTTTCCTCCAGGCATGTGTTATTTGTTTCAAGGTCGTGGGTTTAATGAGGCTGACTTACCATTAGACTGCAGCTGTTCAACATTGAGATGAAAGATGTTGATAGGACAGCTTTAGGATTTCCTGACCTATTTTATGTACATAGCACTGTAATGGCACATGGACAAATGACTCATTTGTGTATATTTAAGGCTGAGGAAGTGTAGCTCTGAACCTCCCTATCTCCAGTCTTTATTGAAGTAACACTTTGAAGCRCTGTTAGAAATGCCAGGATTAGGATGGCCAGGCTCACATCATGTGGGTTTATTGTATAGGCTCTTTCTTACCCAGAATCATCGAATGTTTAAGGTTGGAAGGGACCTCCAGAGGTCGTCTAGTCCAACCGTCCTGCACACGCAGGGTGAAATATCAGAGGTGAATGGTAGAAAACATGATTCCAAGTTCTCAAATAGATATTGTCAGGTGAATCCAGAGAACGAAATGATAGGTGAGCAGTAGATGAAGGCCGAATGAAAGCTAGATGTGCCTGTGGAGCAAGTTCTATGAAAGAAAGGGATATGATGATGTCAGTCTCTGCATGTCTTTCTTGGCCATATTGAGTTTCTCCATTAGTCCTAGCTTGGTAGCTGTTGTGTTGACAGATATTGTAGATGCCAAGCAAACTGTTGTTTGCAGAGCCTTTCTTGCTGTTTCCATTATGTTGCCTAATTTAAATTAGGGCATGTGTATTTCCTATAGGAATATAAACTCATCGTGTTTGTGTTGGGGAATGATCTACCTAGTTTCAGTTTTATTGTATTGTAATTTGACAGGATGAGGGCAGAGGCTAGTTGGATGGCACGATGGTGTGGAGATGCAACTTTAATTCCTTTGCTTGTAGTGAGGACACTGGCAGCTTGCAAATAGACTCTAAGCTGATGGGTTAGTAAGTATGAGGGTGTCATAGCCATGTACGTGGCCTGGATGGAAACAACCATACACAGCTCTGGGATTAAGAAGCCCTTGGTGCATTACAAGACCACAAAAAGTCTGTAGAGGTAAAGCCTTTTCCTAACAGTATGGGCTGATTCTGGACTGTTTTGTCCCTTCTGGCCTGTACGGCCTCTGAGGCTTTCAGATGCTCAGGGAAATTGCTCCATGGAATAGGAGGGGCTCTGGGGTAATCATACTCCATGCGCATTTTTCTTTCACCCAGTTTCTTTTGCTTAGTAGCATAAAATAGTGTCAAGAAGATCCTAGTGCTGCCTGAGCTAAAACTTGGTAAGCAGCAGGACCTTCTAGCTCAAGTGATCAATGCTAAGGCAAKCTAATAAAAGTGCTCTTGCTTGCATTATGGTATAAAGGCAGAAACATCTAAAATTAGGTCCAACTGTAGTACTCAGTTAAGTGATCTGATGCAATTAGAGAGGTAAATTATTTTTTCTGCGTGTGTTTGCTTTTTTTATATATTCTTTTAGTTTTTTATTTCAAGACAGCATTCCATTATGGAAAATAAACAAGGTTGCTTAATACGGCCTACCAGTACTGCAAGGTCTAGCTGTATTAGCAAAGCATCAAACTTTGTCTGAAATAATATTTCAGTAAAAGCAATTTTAGTTAAAACTTCTCTATTTCACCCTTCAGTAATTTAATTAATACTCCAAACCTAATGTGCCGTGATGACTGTTGAGGAGACTGTTGAATTTTCAAGGTACTGTTACAGCTAAAATATTTACTTTTGCATATCAGAGGAAGCATTTGAATGATCAAATTCCTAAACTTCATGATGAGTAGTTCATGTCTGCTGGTTACAGGATTGTGTTCTTTGCTCTGTATTTGAGACATGTAGGGGTATCTTTTGAAACAATTTTAACCCTATGGCTAGCTGCTGTCAGATCTTGGTAATATTTTGTTCATTGGAGTCAGGAAGTGACTGAGGTTTCAGTATTTCTGGTGYACTTGCATCAGTTTACGTTTCTGCGTTAGGCTGGTATAAGTTTCCAGTGTGGACTAGTGAGACCACTGAGTTGCAGTAATATCTAGTTCAGAAATACTACCAGAATAAATCGCCAGCAATTAATTCCTGTTCCTCATAGGAAACGTAGCTTTGGTAGTGGAGAGCTGAACGTTAGGTTGAAACTTGTGCTTATCTCCACCTTAAACATCAATTCTGGGTCTCATGTACACAAATAAAATGATTTCAGCACTACAGATAATTTAAAAATGGTGGAAGAAGAGGAAATGAAGCATCAATTGCAGTATACACACTTGCCGCCTTGTTGAAAGCAAGCCTCAGTCTGTTGATTTTACATGCCTGTGCAAGGCAGCTTTCTATGACTGAATGCTCAGTTTTTTTCATGTAGTCTAATGTATTTGCTATCTTTTTCTGAGGAAAAATGCCTTTTCTCAGTGTCTGCATGACTGCATCAATTTTGAGTGCAGTTTGCTGCTGTTATAATTTTTTGCCTTAGCACATCACTGTTGAA